AAGCATCTGTGCACAACCAAAAGGGTAAGTCTGGGTGAGAGAGAAGAGCTATAGCTTATGTAGCGATCTCAACGGACTATATTTCTTGAAAGGCGTGCCTCAGATGAAGACAAAGGAGAACAGGTGGTGACGGGTCTCAAAAAAAGGGGAAAGCAGACAGGCATCAGAGTAGACTGTATAGAGACATTACGTATTTTGGAAGCAGGAGCTTTGAAAAATTAGCAATGGCTTCGCCAGGAATCGAACCACGGACCTCTGAAATATGTGCCCAGTGTGCAGATCACCACACCATGAAGGCACGGCAAGAAGGTGGGAGCCTTATAACTCTTTTGACTTGATGTTACGAGGTAAATGGTAAAACGCTACTGTAAGTCTCGATTTAGAAATGCTGTAATATTTCCCTGTGTGCTTAAATAATTTGTGTAAAATAAATTCTAACTTGAATATGGATAATTTGCATCCTACTTTATAAGATTTCATCAAGCATTTTATTATACATACATACATACATATATAGTGAAACCACTAAAGCTTGTTTACATTTTTCAAATTTCTCAATGGCCTCATCCGTCCAAGTTATTTTCTGATTATCTCTTTTCTTTGCATCTTTTAGGTAGTCATGCAAAACAGCTTGAGTACTAGTGGCATTTTTCAAAAAATGACAGTAGAAATTAACCATTTCGAGAAAGTTTCGTAGCTGATGACCAGTGTCACGTAATTAAATTAAAAATAGCTTTAACCTTGTCAGGAAGAGGTTTTGATCTCTCAGGTGTAATTAGGAAACCTAAAAATTTCAATTCATTAACTCAAAAAACAGATTTAGAAATATGAAGTCTCAATACATACTTCTGTAATCTATCAAAAACTAATTTTAAATGCTTTCCGTGTTCCTCTTCATTATTTGACGCAATCAAAACATTATCCAAGTATGGAAAAACAAATTCTAGTCCTCTAAATACCTCATTAATAAATCTTTAAAAGATAGAAGATGCATTACGCTACCCGAAACTCATGACATTAAATTCATAAAAACCGAAAGGGGTTATAATGGCAGTTTTTGGCTTATCATTTTCAATAATAGGAATCTGAAACTATACTTTATGCAAACCAATTTTAGAAAATATTCGAGTATTTTTTAAAATGTGGTTGAAATCTTCTAATCTGGGTATAGGATAACGATCTGGTATTGTTTGTGCATTTAAACGACAACAATCCCTGCATGTTCAAAAGGAACCATCTTTCTTTGAACCATATGAAGAGAACTGGCCAACTGAAATTTAAAGGGATGATTAACATCATTTTCTAACATAATATTGAAATTCCTGTTTTGATATTTATAATCGCTTGGGATCCAATTGTCTAGCTCTGGTATACACAGGTTATCCTCTAGTTGTAATATAATGCCCAACACCATGCTTAAATGTTGAACTGAGAAGTTCTAAATCTGGATATTGTTGTAACAAATTAGCATATTTAGAATTTTTATTTAGAGTACTAACAGCATACTAAAAAAACACTGTTGTTACATTATTTTGAACAGACAGGTTAGTTATTCCATCAATAAATTTCTTATTATGATTGTCAAATAAAAGTTTAAATTTATTTAGAAAATCAGCTCCTATAATAGCTTTATCAACTTTAGCTAATATAAACGGAAATTGGAAAATTTATTTATGGAATTATGGAAATTTATGGAATTAAAATTTTAAAGTTAAAATTTTAATTCCATAAATAGGAATTTCCATTCCATTTGATGCGCATAATTTAAAATCACCTACTTTTGTATCACGATCAGTCGCACGAATGAGGCTAACATGAGCACCTGAATCTACTAAGAAACGCAGTCCTGTTTTTTTATCCTTCACAATTAAACAAAATTTGCAGCTGTTGTTGATACCAGCAACAGTAGTAGCCGCTAATGCTGTCGCACTATGGAATTTTCTGACTTCTCTCGCCAAGCACATGGCGAATAACATTTCTCAGGTCAACAACGATCATCAAATTTAAAATGAAAAATATTTATATTTTGTATTAAATCATCTTTTCGAATGGCTACAACTTCGAGATGTATTCTGATGATGATATCTAGATCTTGGTCTGGAATCATCATTTATTTGCACTGAATCAATTTTTTTTTTTTTTTTTTTTTTTTTGCTCTAGGGCAGCTTTTCTTGCAAATAAAGCATCATTAACGTTTGGCAAAAGAGCATCAATTTCTTTTCCAGATTTCATCTCATGAATTTTGTCAGCCATCGAGGCCAATTTCTCTAAATTTCTTTACTGATGAGAAGAATATTTTAGCTTAGTTTAAATATCACGCTGAATAACAATAAAAAATAACGTCCAACATTAAGAATCAGTGTAAATTTAAAAAAAAAAAAAAATTTTTGCAGTACCAGTTTCGATAGTTTTTGAACTACCTTTTGATGGGAGAAGAATATTCTTTATAAAATTGGGCATCTTATCTAACCATAAAGATTTTAGCTCTTTTTCCAGAAAATTGTCTGTGGCTAGATTTTTCATTTGCTGCAAAAGTTGACTTGGTTTACAATCTCTGAGGTCTAATCCAGTAACCAGACACTGAATTCGCTTATTTTCACTTTCTTTGGTCACATTTAAAAGTCTTTCCTTTGCCATAAAATATTTATTAAGCTTAGTGTCTTTAATAATGTCCCATACGTTTTCAACATACTTCAATTCAAGCTGGGATATCAAATAATTGAATCTAGTCTCTTCAGTTGTGATTTTATTTACTTGAAATTGGGCTTCTCCTTAGAAAAAACTGAGTATCAGGTTTTCACGCCAAAATGTTGGAATTTTAATGCGTACTTTATTCACTTTAGTATTTATTAATGTAGCTCCTTCTCTTACGTTTTCCATAGTCATGTTAAATAAACAAGTCGAACGCTGCTGGTCACCAAATATAACACCTATTATGAATCCTCAGTTGATAAAACGTAGTGCAGACAAAATTTTACTATTCCCAGCATGTTTGACTGAACTACCAATAAATATATAAATAAAAAGATTACCAAATCAAAACCAAATATAATTTTTTTTCACCAACTCCGTAGTCAAAACCTCATTTTCTGTTATTTTTAAAAAATTGGATTTTTAAGATAAAAATTGTTGCCAAAACAATAATACTTTCCATATGTAAAGTAAACATTTATAATTATTAAAAATATTTGTGAGTTACTCCCAAACTAATTATTTACATTTTATGCCGTTACAACTATATGATTTTTAATTACAATTTAGCAACTAGCAGATATCACCAAAAAACATACACCAATTTCATTTCTTCATTTAAAATAAGTCACATAGTAGAATCATAATTTATCATAAATATATAAAATCGTAACAGATTTACTTATAAGCTGAAGACATGTTCCCGACATAAATGTTTTAATTCACATGTACCTGTTTAGCTCATTTGACATGTTTATTTATAATATTGAAATCAGTTTATTCTAAGTTAAACTGAATTTAAAGATGCCTGGCTTGCAGCTATTCTTATATTGTGCTAAAATATATTACTAATAATTAGTATTTGATAAAACAAATTAAGTATTACACTGTTTAGTATTTTTAAAAATGCTTTGAAATATCCATAAGTGAAGATCTGAAAACTGCTAATATGGAGATGTAAAATATTTAATGCACAGTAATAAATGACAGGCACAATTTTTGGATGCATTTATTTGAAATCCGATTTCAGATGCTATACCTTTTATTGCTACAAAATGAACGTGCACAAGAATTGACAACTGTGGCTACAGAGACAAATATTGCTAGAATTAAATAATTATTTATAATTTATAATAAAAAACTATATTCAAATCTGTCCAAAAATGAACTCGCAATCTGATTCAGTAAGTTAATTAGGTAGAATATCTAAAGAAATTCTACATGTATTACATACACTTATGCTAAAAATTAAACAACTAAACACCCTCTTTTTTTAAGTTCTTAAAAAATATTAGATACAATTGAATAAATGTGTTGTGAATACAGAGCAGTTTACACCCTACAGAACTGAAAAAAGGCCACCTATAATTGTGAATAATGCTGCAGCATTATTCACAATTATAGGTTGCCATTATTCATAATTATGGGTGGTGGTGGTGGTGGTGGTGGTGGTTATTTATATATTTCTATGAATATCTAAAACCGATGCTGCAAAACAGCACCTAAAATGAAGCTAACAAGGAGTATAATTTTATCTAACAAAGGTCATACAACAACATACAGCACATGTTATACAACACAAGTCATACACACATGTCATTCAACAACATACATGGCACAGTCTTAAAGGGTAATTTCATCAATTCCTGTGGTGGCCGCTCCCAGACGAGAATAAGAATACAGGTGACTCCTAGATAGTTCTTGCAGGATTTTAGATCCTACATGGTTCTTAGAGGTGCCTGGTAAAATGCAATTGCTCTTCCAAGCACATGTGAATTTAATGGCCTCACCAGTGATTAAGCAATTAACACTGCTTAATGTTCGTAATTTGACCTAAATTTTGCACTGGTCAATGTCTATTCTCTGAATTTTTCAAATCCAGGAAAATAAGCTAGCTGCATGGGTGCTTCTTGTGGTTTTCCCCATGTATAATACAAATACAAGTCAGTTTCCCTTAGCAAGTCCTCCACAAAGGCACCCAAACTCTTACGAAGATAGCCTTTGCATACCTCTGCACATTCAGATAACCCAACCCATGAAAGTTTACAAAAAACATTATGATTATTGCCTATGTGTGCAAATGAATTTTCATGCCTACTGATAAAACAGCTACACATACGAATACAATTATGTACTGAATATTAATGCTACCACTACTTTTTAATTTTTGTTCAATAATTTTTTTTTTAGAAACCTGGGGGTATTTAATCTCCTGATTTTGAATACCAGTAAACATTCACAGACCAAACAAATTTGTCTTCACAGTATATTACATCAAAATGCTGACTTTTAATAAATACAGAACTCACCTGCAGGGCAATAGGATTCAGTGGCTGGAATATCCAGGTTGTTCATATGATCAGTGAGAAAACATTCATTTTCTGGTGGACTACAAGCATACTGCTCAAAATCAGTAACAAAATTTAACCTCTCGATGTTGTTTACCATCCAGCTTGGAAGACCAAATTTTCGGTATCTCCCATCATTTTCAAGTGAAGCATTCTCTTGTTTCATATCCATGGCTTTATTAAAAGTTGTACAAATTCTAAAAATGTCAAAAGATTCTTATTACAACCAACATTGAAGAATAAAAACTATTTACTATGTTTTATGTCAAAATATTAATTTCTTTCAGTAAAGTTAAATTCTTCTGGATTATTTGGATGGGAAGTTTTAAGATATGTCATTATTCCAGAATTTAAAAACATTTTTATTTGAAACTTTAAGGTGATCCTATGTGTTATTATGAAAAATGAGAATCCAGTTCCAACACAAGACTCGGAAAAACATACACACAAAGATAGAAGCTCTGAAAAGCTTTAGAAAATCTATATTAATCCTAAGCTACATTATACACTTTTGTGCAAAATTATGAGAATTTGCAAATGAAGTCCATTTTTAAGAAAAGTATTAAACCAAAGGTACCAGTTATGTTGCCGAAGAATTATACAAATTCAGAGTCAAATACATAAGCCTACATGTGGAGCTGTCTTCGTGAGTGGGATATAAGCATATAAGGGGTTTTTGGCAATTTGTGAGCTCATACTCCTCTATGATACTCACCACATTTCTCACAAGAGTTGGGCAAGTTTTATAAGCTAATGGATAAAATGAGTAGACACAAATGTATGAGAATGAGATGGAGAATCATCGATTACAATAAGGGTAGATGGAGAATTACACAAATTAAACATCTGAACATGAAACAGTGGCTGGAAATAAGAAGTAAAGTTTCATTAGTATAACAAGATACCATTATGCAGTTAAAGCTTTAGAATTTTTATCACACAAATATTCATCAGTTTTGAAATAGCTTAAATATGTCTAAACATATTACAAACTGTAATTAAAAACATGTTTAAACATTAAAAAAAAAAAAAAAAGTTTTCCATGCATTCTTACAGACAACACAGTGAAACAAAGAATAGGACAGTCTGAAACCTTACTTTTTTTTAATGAACATTAGAAGTCTAATTTAAGGCATTTTTATGGTAAAATGGGTAGAGCAGTTCATAATTTAAGAACATTGTTTAAAATACAAGCAACTGTTCAGATTCCAGATTATATACCTAATCATTAGTTCAAAAGTACCCCATCCATATATCTAAGAATAATTTGTGAAAATAAAAGTACTTTTAAAAGACGTAAATTTATAAAAAATTTTATGTACTTACTTTCTTAATCACATCTTTTAATAATAATTTTCAAATTTAAAACTATTTAGAACTTGCTTCAATTTCAATATATCTGAAAGACTTATTTATATACCATTCTATGTTTAGAATGATAGGCATTAAATGGATTAAGATAACCAAAGCCTGGTATCATACTCTGAGAAAAGACTGAAAAAGAAATGTACAGCAACATTTAACACTAGTGAGAATTCTAAAGATATTCTGCTTTTAAAAAAACTGTGACTGTTAAGTCATTCACTTGAAAATCTGAAACACTATATGACTGAAGATATACTGCGATCGATGGGATTTTCAAGTCAAAAATAGAGAAAGGACATATACATGAGCACGTATAGTTATCATTGTCCATTATATGGGAGAATAGAATAATAAAAATGAGTAGTATAATTAACTTTGAGTTATAAAATTTATAAGCAAATAAGATTTTATTTATGAATGGTCAACCAGAAATTGATAGTTCACTTAAAACTTGTTGCTGTTCTTCCAATTTCATGTTAAGATATGGAATTATCTGGAATCATTAGATTTTGTTTTCATAAAGCAAAATATATATTTTTTCACTTTAATGAATTTTTTGTTAGCTAAAACTAACAAAAAATCTAGACGAACTATTCAAGTTCGGAAACTGCCAGATGAAACTAAATTTCATATCTATCCTAGAGTAAATTGCAAATTTTGCAATCTTAAAGTCAACGTGCACCTTTATTAACCTTTCTAAAGTTTCTGTGGTTGTTTTATTTGAACAATGACAAAATTTGATGTCGCATTCTTACATCAGTACATGCTTATAAAATCACAGAACAAAGACAACCAACCACAGCACATGAGTTAAACCACTTTCCATGGGCTAAACCATACTGACTACAGAGAGAAAAGCATTTTGAATGATACAATTATATGACTGTACTGCCATGTATAAGTACAGTTCCCAAACTTCTGGATCCTGTACCATCTTTTGGAGAAATCATTTCATAACTGAGGAAGTTTTTAAAAAATAAACATTCTGTGTTTAATAATTATCTTTCATTACCTGCTTATGTGATAAATTTTTTATTTCATGAAAACAAAAAATAACTTTTGATGATATTTTTTTAAGTTTGAAAATCATTCTGAGACACTTTTTGAATAAAATGTTTCCTTTTCTCTAATGGAAAGAGTAACTTAAAAAAAAGTGCAAATTCATATTCAGATCACAGTATGCATACAGTAGTACTAAAAAATGACTTGTAATTATGAAAAGAATTAAGTAAAAAAAAAAAAAAAAAAAAGAGGATGAGGATCTAATTATGTTCTTTCCAATTTCAAGGAATCATATGATTGATGTTAAAAAAACTAAAACAAAAAATAAAACCACAGCAATTTTATGAAAAAAAAATTATATGTTATCAGCAGGTATCAGATTTTTACAATGCTCTCTACACATAATGAGACTGTAAGAGTCATTAGGTTATACTGATGCAGAAAACATGAAAAATGTGCAATACCCTTGTCAGGATTTGAACACTGGACCTCCTGATTGCCAGCCGTGCTATCCAGTACCACCATGGACGCACATACAAAGAAGGTAGATATCACCTTATAAAATTATGAGGGCACATAAATGCAATTTAGCAATTTCATGCAAAATCTGAATAATTTAATTCAGACTGATAACAATACAAAGTGCTAGAGAAGTATATTAACTGGATTCAATAACCAATTTAATGAAAATATTAATCAATATATAAATTCTTTAAATTTAAGAATAATTACGATTTTATGCCAAGAGATGTGCAGTGAACATGAAACACTTTTATTATATTCTGAAGTAAGATGGCTAACCAGAGGCAAAGTTTTAAATCATCTTTTTAAATTTCAATCAAAAATTCAAATTTTCCTCTGTGATTCAAAATTTGAATTGCAAAACTGTTCATTTAGTGAATTATGGTTGGCCCATTTAGCACATTTAACTGATATTTTTGGAAAGTTAAATGAATTAAATTTAGGATTATTTGTTTACCATAAGACATAAAATAAATGCACTGATAAAAAACTCAAGTTAATAATCAAAGAATTGGATAATAACATTTTAAGCTTTTTACCACTTTTAGAAAGTTTTCTAACTGAAAATTATTTGAAAATAAAAGAATAAGCATTCGACATTAAAAATCCTTGTTTTTTACTGATAAATAATTTCAACATGTTATTTTCCCGAGGATTATGAAAAAAGAAAATTTGATTAGAAATCTATTTTTTCAAATGTATCTGAAATTTTATCTTGCGAAGAAAAATAATAATTGATAGAAATTTCCTGCGATCGAAATCTAACTGAAGATTTAAAAAAATAACACATTTCTTAACTTTTGGCTCAACCGAAAAAAACAATTTAAAGGCATTTCAAATAAAGTTATTACATGTTTAGTGCCTTTTTGCTCAACCTTTTTGTGTGAACAAGGATTTTCTTCAGTGTCATATTTGAAAAATAAATACAGAACAAAATTAAAACTGGATCCTAATTTATGGTTAAAACTAAGTGAAATAAGACAAAACATAAAGAAGCTGATCTCTCTTAAGCAGGCCCAAATTTCACAGTAAATTTTAGAATTAAAGTATTATAACTTAAATTTTGATAATTAAAACGGTAACCAATTTTTAAACTAATATTTTTTATGCATGCATATTTAATACAAGTAGCAAATTAGTTGTTCAAATGGCTATATATATACATACTATCAAGACACATGAATTAGAGAGACCTTAATGGTCAAGAATTTTGCGCATTGTGAGCTGCAAAGATTTTAAAATTTTAGAAGTAAGACAAATGTTTAAAAGCTTATGCTAAAAAATACATTTGACTCTATAGTCCTTAGCAAAATTGTAAAATCATTCATCAACTAGAAACAATAATAAAGTAGTAAAAGCTATCTTATAAAAACTAAATGTTAAAATTACAAGTTGAGATGACTTCAAAATAAAAAGGGGGGAGAGAAAAAATATTAATAAATTTTAATGCAAATAATTTTAAAAGGACTCTTGTAAAAATTAAACATATTTCAAAAATACATGATATGTACAAAAAATTGCAATATTTGGTAACTAGCTTAACTCAATGTTTGAACCGGATTTATCCAGGGAAAAGTAGCTCAAAACTCGAATCAAGTTAATACATATAGCACGTTTCGTCAAACGATAATAACTGATACTATAAATGCAATTTCACTAATAGAAACTTCCAACTTAATGATCTAAAAAAGTTTGGTAAGTCTCAATTATATCGCTCTTTTCCCAATGTGCTGTAATTTAAATTGAAAATGTAAAACTTACTATTTAACAAGGAAAAGCTTTACAAGAAGGCACAGTAATTTTATTTTGTAACTTTACATTACTATTACATTTACCTTTACATTACTTGCAATACATATATATTATTTCTATTAAAAAATTCAAAAATAACAATTGTAAAATGTAGCAGTGGTACTAAAGTTTTTCAATTTTTGTTTAGTTGGTACGCATTAGTAAAAAGGTTGAGAACCCCTGATATATGTATTAAAAAAAACAGTATAATCAAGATTTTTTTCTCTTTTTCAGAATCTCTGTGTTAACTCTTTATATTTTTTAAACAGATTTGTAATGCCATTTTTCAAACTTCAATTTTCTTGCAATGAGAAGATAAAATTTAGAAACAATCAGTTAGCTGCTCTGGAAATAAACTTTTTATATAGAAATATTACTTGACAGTTTCCATTTCTCTTTTATCTTCTAATGCTTCTTTGTTGGTAACTGCGATAAGTTTATGTAGCCTTTACATGTAGTGTAGTTCATGGAGTGTTAACTTCTGTTGATCATGGCACAAAATTATTTCTTCTACATC